ACGGCATCTGTGCACTGGGCTACAGCTCAGACTGTGCACAGGCAATTTTACTGTGCAAAGAGCAATCTAATCTTGTAATTGGAAAACGTGAGCAGGCAAAACTTCTCACACTGCTCACTAAACTCCGTTTCTATGCTTGTAAAATTAATAGCACCACTTAAAAACTCTAAATCTATACAGACCAGAACAGTGCAAGTTAGAATTGGTCCCACCTGCCTTTCCTTACCATGTAGGATCCCAGACACTAGTCTTAAATATGTGAGAGAGTAGGACACGGACACACACGGTAAGAGGCAATTCAGTTATTTAGGGCACGTTCACACTGCACAGCTATTTTGGGATACTGGAGGTATCCTGAAATAGCTACCTGCATCTACACAAGCTGCCTGTTATTTCAAAATATTTTTTGAACTAATGGGAGTGCTATTTTGCCACCCCAAGGATTAAGGAATGGCTCGAAATAGCAAGTTATTTTGAAATTTGGCACTGTGTAGATGGGCCAAATTGCAAAATAAGCTATTTAAAAAAAAAACTAAATTAGGCATGCAATTTGCATAGCGTAAATTGTGTAAATTTTATTTAAAATTTAGGGTGCTGTGTGAGAAGTTCTCTAGGTTACCCTTTAGAGAACTCCAGCTAAATTTCTGCTGCATGCACTGGTCCAAAAATGGAGGCTGTGGATAACAGTGCACTTAAGGATGAAACTCTATGCACTTAAGGATAAAATCACTTTATGGATCCAGCTACATAGTTTCCACACTCTGTTGCCCCGTATCTGTCCAGATATAACCCAATTACATTCTCCACTGGAAAGCTAGACGGTGCAGCAGAGTTGAAAATGGTTTTAATTCCATCTGAACTATTTGTTTATGTCCTAGTTTCAGGAATGTAAAATTAGCAAACCAAAACCCCCATTGCCAACTGACTGACAGACCCAAATATAATATCAGCAACTCAAACCATATAAGACAGGCACGTCAGCAGCAGCCAGAAGAGAATGATGCGATATTTGGCTCCTATTAAGACAGATACTAATAAAATAGTCCACAAGCAGACATCAGTACAAATGTCTCTGTGTTAATTGCAGCTCGTCAAGCAATAGTCATCCTTTAAAAATGTCTAATTCTCAAGGGAAGTCCACTCCCGTCCCTATAGAAATCCATGGCAAAGCTCCGATTAACCTTAGTGCAGCCAAACGTTGTCCAGTCTCCATAATCAGAAAAGGAAAAAGGTCCCACCCCACATGCTTGCTCAGGATAATATTTTTGGCAGGATCCCTAATAGTTGCAGAGCCGGAGACAGGACACCCAACTTCAGAGGGCTCAGAGGAAAGGGAAGACTCCACAAGCCCCTTTTGGAGACAGCTCCCCCTCATCACAACCCCCTTCCTTTCCAGTTCTATTAACATTAAGCCCATTCTACTCCATTATAGAAATGGAGTCTCTGCAGTTCTCAGGCACCATTCTGTAGAATAGCCTGTGAGTCCTAGAGAGACTCTCCTATTTCCTATTGCAGAAGCCACCAGAACAGTCTTTTATGTCAGGAACTAGGCTTTGATTGAACCATTCTTTGGAACCCAGCTGTGTCCACGAGGTTTCCTCAGAGTCTTAATATAGTGCAGAGAGTCAGGAAGTAGTTCTTCTAATTGAAACACTGATCAGTTCTCTAGCAGAGGATGGCACTTGGAAGCAAAGGAATTTGCTGTGTATCAGCAAGGGGAACATGCTGCAAGTTACTGAGCACTCTCCACTTTTCTGAAGTCAATGGCAGATGCGGCTTAGCCGTTTGCAGCATTGTTCTTAGAGCAAGGTTATAGAATACGGTGATGTTACTAGGTCCTGGTTTCCTGCTGCCCCCTAGCTGATGAGGTGATGTCTTTCCTTATTCCTATTCTTCTGTTGCCTCTTCCACAGAGAAATAAATTGTATGAACTATCATGCACCTGTGTATAAATCAATCCCCTTTTGGACAGATTATTCCATAACTTTCCACTAGGGTATTTTCCCATTAGTACTTAATGGGGTTTGATAGAAATGTCTCTATAAAACCCCACATGCCCACAAAGTTACATTAAGAACATTACAAAGTTCTTTTCTACAAGTTATTTGAACCACCCTGTAAAGTTCTATAGCGTGGAAAATACATTTCAAAATTAAAGGAAAGTTAAAAAAAAATGTGTGCATGCATGTGCATAAATAAAATTGTTTGCCTAATTTCCTGTAGGGGACTGCATCTTCTGAAAAATGTAGTACAGGACACGATCAGAAACAGGACCCTGGATTAGATGGACCCTTATGTAGCAGATATGATGGATAGCCTAGGTCCAGCAGTTCTTCTCCCTCTCTTCAGTTACTTGAAACACCTGGAGCCAAAATGGTTGTATCTCTGTCTTGGGGAGGCAGAAGTAAAACCAGGTGAAGACAATCATGGTTTTCCTCCCCACCTTCTATAGAATTTCCATAAGGCAGGAAACCTTTATTTGATTCCCCTAGTCCCACTGTGGAACAGTTCAACAGTCCAAGATGCAGGTTAGTATCAGGTGACAAAGTCACCTGACTCCATCATCCATGAGCCAGTAGCATTATGGAATGTCTACAGGAAGGCCAAGCCCATTCATAGTCCATTGTTCTAGCTCACGGGCCATTTGCCCTGTCAGGGTTTTCCATTATAGCCCCTGAAGTGTCTGCAGTGGGTTTGACCCAAAACAGCAAATATGAAACAGATCAATATTGCTAACTTCAAATACAAAAGCAATACATACAAATGGGATGACCACCACTAGATCATAACCTTTCCAATGATACCTTACATGAGTCAGCTTGTATAACATATCCCTGTTATATCATATTCATATCAGAAGGATATTTTCATAAAATCATATGCAGTCCTCTTCAAAGTGCTTCATAGCCTGGAGCCCCATCCCAGGGTAACAAAGAGATCATCTGAAGTTCTGGGTCAAAGGCCATGGTCAATAGCTGTGCTATTCTGGCACAATGGAACTCTCTAGAATTAGAGTAAAGCTTGTCCATACAGGAGGGAGAACTTCTGCAGAACAGCCTGAGACTGTGGAATTACTCCCCCAAGAACTAATGTCTATCATAAACCTCATGTTCTTCCATTCACTCAGTGTGCAAGGGGCAGTTCTTTGACCTTGCCTGCTCTAATATAGACATATAGCGACAGGCATATGTAAATAAAAATATCCCAAAAAAGAACACTCCAAACATGTGGAAAGGATGAGAGAGACATCATTTGGCAGATGTGTAGGTGTGTTGCTTAATGCATAATTGGAAGGCAACCAGCAACTATGAGGAGGAGTATGGTATAAAAATCTACATAGAATTGAATGCAGCATAGCAGTTCCTATAAAAACAACCATATTGGGTCAGACCAAAAAGTCCATCTAGCCCAGTATCCAGTCTTCTGACAGTGGCCAATGCCAGGTGCCCCAGAGGAAATGAACAAAACAGGTAATCAAGTGATCCCTCCCCCGTCACCCATATCTAGCCTCTGATAAACAGAGGTTAGGGACATCATTCCTATCCAGCCTGGCTAGTAAGCATTGCTATACCCATTTTCCATTAATTTATCCAGTCCTTTTAAAATCATCTGGCAAGGAGTTCCACAGGTTGATGGTGCACTGTGTGAAGAAATACTTCCTTTTGTTTGGTTTAAACCTGCTACCTATTAATTTCATTTGGTTGACCCCTAGTTCTTATGTTATGGGGATAAGTAAATAACTTTTCCTTATTTACTTTCTCCACACCAGTCATCATTTTATAGACCTCTATCATATGTCCCCTCGGTCTCCTCTTTTCTAAGCTAAAAAGTCCCAGTTTTTTAACCTCTCCTTATGTGGCAACTGCTCCAAACCCCTAATCATTTTTGTTGCCCTTTTCTGAACTTCTTTCTGTGTTCCTATGTAGGGATGCCAGGCTGTTACGTTCATGGCATATAAAGAGATGTTATCTAAAATATTTTTGCTAGAAAGTTACAACAATTGTTCTTTGTGAAATCCAAAATCTCTGCACTCAAGAATGAAAAACACAGAGAGAGAGAGAGAGTAAGAGAGCATGCTGCTCCCTAAGGCAGAGAAGCCCAAATCATGCCATTTTCCTCTAGGCTCTTTTCAGACAAAATTCTCAAAACTCAGTTTTCTCTGCAGATACATTTCTCTGCAGAGCCCCCTTGCTTGAAAGGAGGACAGAAAACTCCTTATAAATTTGAAGTGATGGTTTTAAATTTTAGTACATCACAAAGTGAAACCATGATTAACCAAGTCTGTCACATTATTTTACTACTTCTGTCAGCACAGTAGGCCAAAAAGAGATTTCTCTACAGACTGACCCAGGTGATTGTTATTTTACTCCAAGAACATATAACTGTATTGAGTGATCTGTTACAAATAGAGTTTTTTAGTACATTCTGAGAATATTAATTTGAATGGAACTAATTATAGTCACCTCAAATATTTGGCTATATATTGAAGAATTATCAACAGTAAAAACCTTCAGGGGGTAGCCGAGTTAGTCTGTACAGGATCAACTTAAAAAGCAACAAATGGTCTGGTAGCACTTTATAGACTAACAAAACATGAAGATGTATCATGAGCTTTTGTGGGCTGCCTGTAAAGAGCTACCAGACCATTTGTTGTTTAAATAAAAGCCTTAGTTAGGCTATGTCTACACTACAAAGAAAAGTTGGAAAAAGATATGCAAGTCTAGACATATCCTTCATCATGCACAGCCTTTAATTCACATTGTGTCTTCCTATATTAAGGCATTAATATATTTTGGACAGCTATTGACACAGCAAGTCTGTTTTCTCTACCTTAGAGCTGAATGAAATAAATGGGATGGGGAGGAGCAGGGAGGACAAGAATTGTTTTGTAAATTATATTTTACTACTGAGGGGTGTCTAGGAATTAAAAGCATTCCATTAACTTTGCATATAAGCAGCATAAACTGGGCTCCATTCATCACCAAGTGGTGTAAAATTACCTTTGGCCGCTTCCATTCCACTCTTCCAGGAGGGAATCTGTTGTAGAAAAGGGATTCGTCTGATGCTGGAAACTCTGGATCTTCAAACAGTTGTCTTTGTTTGATACACTGCTGCTTGAGCTGATGATACTTCTGATCTTTGAAAGATTTCACTGATGAAGACATAGTCCTCTGTCCAACCTAGATTAAGATTAATGGCTTGTGTAAATTTGAAAGGTTCTTCAGAGTGTTTTAGCTATCCCCCCTCATCATGCTCTCAAAACAAAGAGATTGCACAACCAGTAGTTCTAGGCAAAATTATAGACTGATGTCAGATAAAAAGGTGGATTACAAAGTAGATTAGTCTGGGGTTAGATTGTGAAGTTTTAAAAGAATTTTTCTTGGATATTACCCAGGACCTAATTTTTGAGTTGGAGAAAATTCTGAGGGTGTATCTCACTAGGTAGAATAATAAAGATCCTGGACAGAGCAGATACATGGCACTTCTGTCTTGGCTCATGGTTCTAGGAAGGTACATTCTGAATGGAGGGGATGTGTGCCCCCAAGATAGAGTATCTGGGAAGGCTTTGGCCTTTTTCCATCTGATGGGATTCAGAGTCAGTTTTTGAGGCCAGAAGGGACCACCAGATCATCTAGTTTGACCTTCTGTATATCACATGTCAATACCCACCACCCAACATCCACACTTTAACCCCAACAACTTGTATGAGACCAAAATATTACAGCTCACAGGAGACTAGATTATACGCCAGAGGGAGGACTAGGAGAGATTTGAGGTATGTCAGTGCCCCACAATGGCAGGGAGATGACTGAATAAGAGATTCCCAGAGAATCCTGGAAGGTGACCATATAAGGCCTTTCCAAGAAGAATGTGTTCGTCATCACCTTCTCCTCTCTTCCACAGCCAGGTAGAAAATTGAGCCCACTGTCTCCTCTTCTGTGTATATGAATGATGAATAGAGGTGGGTGAAGACTAACAATTTCCACAAGAAGCTATTTTAATTTTAAAGGCATATACTTGGGTTGGACTTGCTTTTGTATTGATATTTCAGTGAACTGATTTTCCTGACAGCAATATTCACAGAAGGAACTGGTATTTGAGGATATGGGTGGAAAGTGAATAGGAAATTTGCCATCTGTGCTTGCACTGATTCTAAGAGTTGATTACTTGACTATGAAGTCAGACAATACAAACATGCCATGTGATTTAGACAACCACAGCTCAAGTTTTCCATCTGCAGTAAACATGCTCCATGTCAGGAATTAGTAGCAGAACTTATTCAGGATTGTTTATGACTTTTATAATATTTTGCACAGCCTCATTTTCAACATGGCTGTTGAAGACCCAGGCTGCTGCTTCCTGTGGCTCCGCTTGTCTACAAGTGGTAAGCCGGTGCCAATGGAAGCCACGAGGCTCTGTGGCTGCAGAGTTGGTAAGTAAAGAAACCAGAACAGCCCATTAGCAGCTCTCTCAGGCTGTGTCTACACTATGAGTTTTCTCCACGAAATATGCAAATAAGTCCCTAACTCATTTGTATATTTTCTGCCGATCCATTTTTGTGCTGGGGTTTTTGTGCAAAAAGAGAACGTCCACACTGCTTGTTTTTGCACAAAAACCCCAGCGCAAAAATGGATCGGCAGAAAATATGCACATGAGATTGCGACTTATGCAAGCTCATAGTGTAGACGTAGCCTCAGAGTGGGTCTGTGGACCACTTTGAGAAATACTGTTGTAGAGTATAGGGAGAAATACCATGTAACAGGGCATGCAATTGCAGTTAGAGCTATGCAAATAACTGATTGGTTGATTATAGGGTCAAAACTCAGAAGTGAATCGAATTTCATTTCAGGTTGAACAAGATTTTCTATTTGATCTGAGATGTTAAGTTTCATTTGAGTTTCTTACCCTTTGCTTACGTTTTTATTTTTTTAAATCATAGAACATTTGAAATGAAATAATTGACATTTTTGGATTTTTTTCTAGCTGAAACTATTCAGTGAATTTGATATGAACTTGTAAAATGTGTTTTCACAAATACACATTTTTCAGTGAACAAAACTGTCATCTAAAAAGAATTCACCCAGGTCTAAGCAAAGTACCTGAATGGTCTTTGTTAGGTGTTAGCGCATTCATGCACTGGAGTGGAAGGAGCATTTTGATATCAGATATGCATCCTCCATTGTTGCAATTATTTGCAAACGTACAAAATCCTGGATGCGGCCTAAACATGTAACTAAATATAGCAGATTTTCCTTTAGAGCGAAAATCTCTGATCTGTATTGATGTTAGTGGTGGGCTGTATGCAGATTGGCACAGCAGAGACTGGGTGAGTACCCTGTGCTAGAAAAGTGATAGACCATTATTCAGTATTTCTTTCATATTTCTAGCTTTCATGGGCCAAAAATCTTCCTCTGTCTTTACTTAGGCAAAACCCCTATTGATAACAAAGGGAAGTTTTGCTCAAGTACAAAGAATTACGGGGAAATCCTGGCCTCAATGAAATCTACAGGAGTCCCTTCAGTATTAAACCATGTGATTTTTACCACTTATGTGATTCAAAGATATTTCTTTGTATCAATACAAACAGCCTTTGAGCTCAACAGTATCTATGTTGGCTGTTCAGGGGCAAAACAGCTCAGTACTATGGTATTATTCTAAACACTTTTCCTTTTCTTGAGGGCAATTCTTTTTTCATTAATGATCCTTAAATAAGATATTCTATTTGGCAGTTGGTCTCTAAAGAGAAGGAATATTAAGTAGATTTGCTTCTTCCCACCTGCTACAAAGTCAAGCGCAGAATATTTTACCAATTAAAAAAGGAATAGCTGAGAAAAAATAATTACTCTAATTTGAATGGAATACAGATTAATATCTCATGATAACACTCATTGACGCTTTCTCATTAAAAAGTCTCCACTGGCTAACTAAGATTTCAAACGAGTCTATTTACAAGATATGCTTGTTTTTAAAATAGTTCCAGAGGGGATAAGGTTTTCAACTTGTCATTGCATTATTCACAGAACTAGGTTTTTAATGACTTTCCCCATCCCCCCTCCTAATGTACTGGGTGATGGGATTTTCAGTCCTTTCTTGATTAACACCTCCCCCCTTCCCTCCCTAACTACTATACAACAGCTTTATTGCAGCAACGCATAAAGGCTGTCATACAATAAAGAACATAATCCAACCAATATCTGCATAGCCATCTGGGTCTTCAGGGCAGCAGTGTTGGAAGGAGTCAGTTTTGCAAACTATCATGAATTCTAGCGAGGAAGAATACCCTGGTAGTTAGGCTGCAAACCTGAGATTTGGGAGACAATCATTCAATTCTCTGATTGCTACAGACTCCCTGGCTACGTCTAAACTGGCATGATTTTCCGGAAATGCTTTGAACGGAAAAGTTTTCCATTAAAAGCATTTGCGGAAAAGAGCATCTAGATTGGCACGGACACTTTTCCGCAAAAGCACTTTTTGCAGAAAAGCATCCATGCCAATCTAGACGCGCTTTTCCGCAAAAAAGCCCCAATCGCCATTTTCGCGATCGGGGCTCTTTTGCGCAAAACAAATCTGAGCTGTCTACACTGGCCCTTTTGTGCAAAAGCTTTGCGCAAAAGGAACTTTTGCCCGAACGGGAGCAGCATAGTATTTCCGCAAGAAGCACTGATTTCAGACAGTGGGAAGTCAGTGTTCTTGCGGATATTCAAGCGGCCAGTGTAGACAGCTGGCAAGTTTTTCTGCAAAAGCAGCTTATTTTGTGGAAAAACTTGCCAGTTTAGACACAGCCCATGTGTGGCCTTGGTCAAGTCATTTAGGCCCAAATCCAAAGGTAGAAGCCTAGCTCCAACTGATTCCTGCTACTTCAGTAATGGCAAAACATCCACTTTTGAAAATATGTTCCCTCTCTGTAAGTCACTACCTTGCAGGGGCTTTGCATTGTGATCAGGCTCTGTGCTGCTGAAAGAGGTAGAGCTTCAGGAAGAAGGGGAGTGGCTAAGGGCAACCAGCCCTCAACCACCCAGAGAGTATTATGTTCTTCTCCCCCGAGGCAGCCCTCAGAGTGACCAGGAACGTGCCTTGTGGTGCTCAGGTGGCTATTTAAATGGCCTGGTGCTCCAGCTGTCACCATTTCTGTGATAGAGGCAGTGGCTGGGAGCCCTGGGCCCTTTTGAATTGCCGGGCCCCAGGTCAACAGCCCCCTTGGCCAACTACGTATCAGCGGGCCTGGTTGGGAGGACAACTACATTCAAGACAGTGAGGTGGTGAGATACAGCAGTACCTGGGGAATGAGGAAATAGATGATGTTGCCACAGGCTGGAGGATATTGTTTCAACAGTCGATCCCATTTTTTTACTTCCAATCTCTTGATTAACTGCTAGAAAACATCTTACCTTGCTGGCATTCTTACTGGACTTACAAACATATAGAGCAAGGCTTGGCAACCCCTGCTGAGTTCCTTGGAGGGCTCCGCACACTGTCAATTAATGAGAAACATCATCTGTGTAATGCTTGCTAATGAGTGGCCCTAAAATGTATTGCTACAATTTGAGACCCTCCTCAGCATTGCTAGTTAGGCTGGGCTGCAGTAAACAAAGAAAGCACGTACTTCAGACTGAAAAATCTGCCGGTCAATAGATTCTAGTAAAACTACTCGTCCCTGCCCCCCACCTTGTCTCCAGTTGCAGTAGTGCGCTTTACTTTTACAGTCTTTAATTTAGACTCGCCACACTAAACTTCCAGGCATTGGAATATGAAGCCTCGTTCATGCCTCTGCCCAGTACAACACAATCAAGCCGCAGACCTGAAAGCTTATTCAAGGAGAAGCTGGACACTCACAACTCCTGTTGAAACTGACTAGAGAATGCTCAGCACTTCTCAGGAACTAGCATCAGGCTTGAAAGCATTTTTCTAAACTGTTCCTTGCCAGGAGATATTGACTTGCATAAGCTCAACAGCAGAGACAATGAAGTTAATCCAGGCAGACAGTTCTCCTTTCTATAAGCCTCTACTCACATGGCCCCTTCCTTTTTTAACTGCAAGAGTATTACTTGATTTTTACTTACAGTGACTATCTAGCCACACGTCCTCAGCTGGAGCAAGCTCAGAGCTAAATAACATTCTGCATAGCTCCATCAGGAGTTCTAAAATTAAAGGGCCATCAACCTGAAATTCGATCCATTTAAGGACATTTAAGAACAGTTTTAGACACTATACCTCTGAGTGCTGCTGATGATTGTTGAGGTTTTAGCTTTTTTATTTAAAAAAAACTAAATTTGTCTTCCCTGCTGTGTGGAAGACCCACACAAACAAAACCAGAGAGCTCATTAACTCCTGCAGGGAAAACAGTTAAAATTATTATATACAAAGTGCTGTCAAATATCCACAGTAAACAAGCTGAAAATAACAGAGAAATATATATCTTAACGGAGACAGATATTTCTTTGCTGATCTGCCAATTTTAGTCACCGTGTGTGTTACTAAGTCCTATAGGTTAGAAGATTTCAGAAAGAAGTGTGATTTTTTTAAAAATTAATTGATGCCCTTTAAGCACAGATTTCTACGGCTAGTGTGTTTTGCTGTCTACAAGCATATCTTCATTTCACAATAGGGAGGTTACAGTGAAGTCACAAAGGCTTTTTCATCTTCATAAAACAAGGCACTAAGTTGCTTTTTAATCTGAGAGGCTGCAGCACGTGTGGCCTTCTCATCTAGCTCTCTCTTCAAAAGAGGAGCCAGATTTATTGGAAAGACATTTATTTCATTATGCATCCAGACACTTCTGTACATGGAATTCACAAAATTCAAAAAATGAGGAGTACGGGATCTTTCAAAAAAGCCTGCTGTTTTCAACAACCGCATCTAGACTGCGTTTTTACCTTTGAAATGGCGCTTTTTCGAAAGAGCGCCATTACGTGATTATGCAAAAGAGCGGGATATTTAAATACCCACTTCATTTGCAATTTCAAAGTGTCTAATTTACATCCCTCTGTCGAAAAAGGGATGTAGTCTAGACACAGTTACAAAGAGAACAATGAGTCTCGTCTACAGCCATAGCTAATAGCAAGCTGGCTTTTTAGCTCACACAGCAGAAGCTCATACACTGAGTTGCAACCGTACCAGATTTGGTTTCACCTGCAGATGGCTGTCTGTTGGTGTCACATGTGTGTAACCTGTCAGACAATTTGTGCCAAAAAAAACAACAACCCTCCCACTTTGTTCCTTTGACTATTCCCATTTGAAAAACAAACAAAAAAAATCGTAAGTAATAAGTGAGCCAAGTAAAAAGACAGCTGTTTAATTGAGATTAAACATACCTTTTGGTATTTAGTAACATGTAGCTCTCCCTGGTAACATGCACTCCCAAGAACTCACTTCACAATGTCTAGACTATAGCAGACTAGTTTTACAGCCAGAAGCTTTACATTTCTGCTACTGCTGAACTATGTCCCTGAAAGATTCCTAATATGAGGAGGTTTCAGGAAACGAGAAGAACTGTATACTGCTTTGTCAGTTTCTATTTGCTCAGATTTAAGAGTTTTATAAAATGGTGGTTTTTCAAGTGTGTACTAACAGCCTGGCTAAATTCAAAGCAGTTGTGAAATCTCCTTCACTCAGAACCATTTTGGAAAGAAACATTTTCCTGTTTGCTGATTTGCCAAGTTCTAGTCCATGGTCTCGGTTCTGCTGGGAGCTAAACTGGCCTGAAGCATTAGCCCTTCTCTTGTCCAGTAGTAACTCACTCGGTTAGAAAGGAAATTGAACCGAAAATGTGCACTTAACTATTAGATAGACTGGTATTTTATTAAGCATATGAAAGTTTCACTGCCCAAACTAGGTTTTAGTTCACGCAAAGAAATATTCCAAGGGAAAGACACATGAGTGTAAAATGGTGTAATAAAATAAACTGATAGGGGCTAAGTATTTTTAGTTGCATGGATATGGCTGTCCTCTTTCTGTGTGTCTTCCCAGGGAAAACCTACCTACAGTACATGCCTTACACTTTCTAGTGAGAATATCTGTCCTTTCTCCTTCCATTCATACCAACTGGGGAAATACAGAGGCGGGATGGTACTGACCTGACAATAATTGCTATTTGTAGATGGGGTCAAGGATTCTAGTGAAGTTTCCATCTGCAACCAGATTTAATGTTTAAGGTGAAGGAGGACATGAGCCCATGCATTTTCTGGCATGGTGAGGTACCAAAGCTAACAGCAGCTCTGCCAAAGCTACATTAGGTAATGAAAGCTGCATTGTTCGGATGACTTTTTTGCTTTGTGCTCACACCATAACTAAGTGTATGATTTCAAAAAAGAATTATTTGGGGGGAAAGGTCTTATACCGGTGATCAGACACAGTGATCAAACGGTCCTTTCTAGACCTATTAATTTGTCCCTATACAATCTATGGACTGGGAGCTAAGAAAGTGGAGGCTCATGTTACTATAGTGTTCTTTGTAACTGAAACATCATGGCTCAAGACCATCTCTGATGCAACTCCATGGGTTTCTGGAGTTCTGTAAGAATGATCTGGAACCTAAAGCTATTTTCATGGTTTATAACCAGGGGATACACCCAGTCTGATTTGTATTAAAATGAACATAGCAGGACGGAATGTTTCAGTGGTTGGGTAAAGCAAGTCCTCAGTATTGTGTTCCTACACAGACTATCTTAACTGGGGTTCAGCAATAAGCAGGGCTGCTTGCCTGACTAAAACCTCCCTGAAGCAAGTTGATGGGAGTATATGGGGAACAGGTGGAACTTTGGCAGCATGCCGCTACTTGTACTATGGGGTGGGTAGTTACTTACTTCTGGAACTGGCCAGCAGTAAATTAAGCTCTAGGCTCAAGGCGAAAGCAGGGGTAGGAATTTGAATTGTGCGTACCAGGGAAGCACAATCCTTGCCATGGATACTTCTGGGGAGATGGAGTTAACACACAACTCTTGATTAGGCAGTGCCTAATGTCATGAACTAGCCAGATACAAAGTTGGCAGACATCTGGAGATCCTTCTAGAGCAGGGGTGGCCAAACTTTCTGAGCCACATATGACAACCTTCAGTAGTTTGAGAGCCAGGGCTCAGGGCTTCAGCTCCTGGGGAGCAGCCTGATAGATAAAGCCCCCAAACCCTCTGTCCCTGATAAAGCCCCAAGTCCCAGCAGATGTGCCCCAAGGGGCAGAAGTCCCAAGTCCCCTATCCCTCCATTCTGTTGCAAGCAGGCCCACAGTTGGGAGGGGTGAAAAGGAGGCAACAGTCCCAGGGCCTGGCGATTCTAAAGGGCCCAGCGCTCCCAGCTGCTGCTGCCACTACTGCTCCATGTGGCTCTGAGGGTTGGGGTGGGGGGGGAGGACTGGTGTGGCAGGCTCTGGATGGCACTGAGGGCTGGCTGCCCTGACCCCATCCCTTCTGCTCAAGGCCCTGCTCCTTCTGGGAGTGGAGAGTCAGGCCCCCTCACCTTTCCCAGGGGCCTGGTGTGACTGTCAGTCAGCTCTCTTGGAGGCAAGGCAAAGTTTCTAGGATCTCCTCCCCACACCCCCTCCCTCAGTGTGGATACTGGGGAGGGGGGGAGAAGAATGCAGAAAGCCTCACTTTATGGGAAAAGAGCTGCATGTATTTCATGAACCACAGTTTGGCCACCCCTGTTCTAGATGAAATAAGCTATATAAATGCAGGAAAGTACAAAAGTGACTTTGGGCTACATCTGTACTATTATCTCTGGATTATCCATCAGTTACACATTTGTAAACTCACTTAATGCTAATGAGGGTACTCAAGTGCTTCAGGGCATGAACTGAAGGTAATAGAATTCCTGAGGTCTAGCTAAGGACCTCTGTTACTGGCGATCATGCACAAGGTGGAAAGAACCCACTTACCATTGCATCCCTTATAAGGCAAATCACCTGTTCTCAAGTATAGAGTACCCTCTTAAAAGCAATATGTATACCTGTGATCATGTTTTCAGTCTACATCAGTGATCTTTTATCCATTTTAAAGCTAGACAAAAATGTACACACAGTAGTAAATATTATTAGACATATACATTTGCCCAAATTTGAATCTTATGGACATTATAAAAATATTTCTCTCATTCAACTTCTCAAGTATTCAGAAAGTAGAAGCTAATCTCTGCTTATGGAAAAATATAGTTGTGATGCTTTGCATTTTTGCCTCCACTTTATACAGAATCAAATTTGAGTAAATTATTCCTAACAACCCCCTGCCCTCCACCCCCCGACCCTCTAAATAGATCAGCATTGTCATTCCCTTTTTACAGATGGGAAAATTGAGGCATGAAGATCCAATTCTCAGAAATACTTTGGTGCCTAATTCATCTGTGCTTCTGAAAATCCCATTAAACACCTTTCTGAATTCATAAGAATCTAAATAACTTTCAGGATCTGAATCAAGGTGGCTAACGGCTAGATTTTCAAGGTATTTAAGTGCCTAATGGGATTTTTAAAAATACACAGGTTCTTATCTCAATTTTCAGTACCCAAATACATTTAAAGAGATGCTCTAAGTGATTTTTCCATGGCCATAAAATTAATTTCAGGAGCACATGGTATGAGCCTTAGATTACACTCTTGATTTGCAAAGGAAATAACTGAGCATGTTTGAATGATGATACATTTGCAATTAATACTAGTGCAAGTCAGGGTATACTTAACAATAAGCTCATACAGACTGGAGAAAGTATGCCAATAGAAATGCTTCTGGAATCTTTCTAGACATGTTCTCTGCTTGAAACTAAAACTGGCAACATTTTAGGAACCGTGAAGACAAACTTATCCCTGCTCTCACATTCTATTCAGTTTTAATGATGACCATGACAATCAAATGCAGTGAGTCCAGGAATATCTTGTTAAATTATTTTGAAAGTTTACTTATCCATTGTGCTAAACACCTACTTGCTAAATATTTATTCTAGAAACATTTCTTAAAGAAGGCTTTAAAATGCAAACACATGACTCATAGTAGAAAAGTCCCCAGCAGCAATTGAGCATGCTTTTAAGAAATCAAAGAAGGTGCAGTGCTGTACCTCCTGTGAAACTGATCTAACAGTTTGAAATTGGAATCACATTGTTTATCAACATTGGCCCTTCTGATATTTTGTGTCTGTTTGTCTGTTCTACAGGT